CAGATAGCTCAATGAAAGTGAAGAATATTATTTTCAAAATGGGTTTAATGGTCTTGACCTTATTGACATTATTTTTGTGATACAGAACACAAATTTGGTACAATTTTTGTGAGCTCCCTTTTTACAATGAATCCAGAGTACTCAGGGAAATAATAATTATGCATTACCCAACTCTTGACGGACATTCAGCCCAATAATTCATATATTACACAGCATCCATTGTTCTCAAGTTCTTCACGTTATTAACAAAAAATCATTCACAGGGTATAATTCACTGTATTTTGTTTCATTTTATACTTTCACATAATTGGAGAGTTCCTCTCGCATTCTTAGATTAACAGGCGCACGCACTGCACTCGTTGCACTCACCAAAAAAATTAAAAAAATAACAGATTAGTCGATTTGTCAATTAAGCTCGAAGGAATGACTTCCAAGAGATCAATCCGAAAAGACAATTTAATTCACCATTTTCACAATCGATTATGGATCGATTAATCTCGAAAACTATCGACTTCAGAGGAAAATGCCAGAGGACTTTTTTGTAGATTATGAAATTCCGGATGAAAAGGGTATTCTCGTATTTTCTCCTAAAATCAATAGTTTGCGAGATCAATCAACATTTGAAAAAACTGTTCGAGTTTTTTCACTTTCTCACTGAATTCTCTCTTTTCGGTTTTAAAATCTCTTAATTTTCAACTTAATTGTCGCCTTCGAGCCCACCAACATCTATTCACAACGCAAAATGACTGAAACAATGGAGATATTCTTGTTAATTGGACACATTCAAGAGAAATAATAAATCCATCCTTCACCTCCTCAACTTGACGTTTAAATATCGTTAAATATGTATTATAAATTTTGTTTGCTACACGTTTGACAATTATTTATACACAAAAAATTCGTTTTTCTCGTTAATCCTATCCTTGACAATGACTCGAGTCGATTAAGTAACTCTTACGCTTGCTTATGTTTTTTTTTCTTTCAAATGGACAATATCTCCCCTCACACACACTCACACAAAATTGTTTTTCATTTGCCTCCCTCTAATTTTGTTCCTCTTCTTTGATTAAATATTCATCCGCATAACTATCTTCATGTGTATTTCGAAATAGAAAAGTAATAAATAAAAAATTGCATCATTTTGGGAATATAAACAAAAATCAAAACAAAAACAAAATAGAAGGTCAGTAGCCAAACGATAAAACAGATCAGTGTTCAGTAAATATCTTGGTATTGAGGACAGATATCGAAATTTTAGTCAAAATCCTTTATATTGAGTCCATTGAGCACTACAAAAAAGGTAAGCTCAAATTTTTTGCTATCTCTCTCGGATTCGAAGATATTTCTCAATATAACGCAGGAAAATTGATATAAATTTATCGCTTCGCCACTGAATTCAACAGAATTAAATATGAAACTGGGAAATTATCCCAGTCGTTTTATCTTTCGATGAGGATTCGATGGAAAGATATCGAGAAAAATTAAGCGAGTGAGATAATTTAAGAGGGAAGAGCAAAACGTAATAGAACCTGATTTTTTTCCATCTTAATCAGCTAATTATCTGGACAATGATTGGTATTAGAGAACAATGTCAGAGGAATTTTTTCTAGACAATTTCTTTTTCTAATTAAGATCCCTCTGACTTTCTTCTGCGGGAGCACTCGTAACCGAGATAACAACGAAAATCTAAACTGGAAAGACAAGTGTCACCGTGAATTAACGTTTTACAACTTCCCAAAATAATAATTTGGCAATAAAAAAATATCTCGATGTAAGCAGCATGTCCCCTCTTTACGTGATCCTATATAAAAATCTAAACTGACCTTAACGTGTACTAAAAAACGGGTGATGCTAGATACATCCTCTCCTCACCTACGATTAAGGTATTTGGACATTTTCCATAATCGTACGACCAAACTCGGTCTAATTAATTGTTTGGCTGCCAGTAGCATGCGTTATCGATCATGATCAACTAAATTTAAAAAATATTGCTAACTACAGACATGACAATTGGTAATTGTCAATAGTCATTAACCTGGGCGATAAAAAGAGGTCCCATGTGTTATGATTTTTTCAGTTTCAACATTTAAGTTCGTAATTTCATCAAGAGGAGAATATCGACCAGAGGGATCAAAGAAATAATGATGCTCTAAATTTCAGAGATTATCTGTCTTTGATTCTAGAAAATCTATTCAACTCTAAAACTTATTTGTCAAACCTCAAAAAATTCCTCAACCAAAATTTTCTTCCCTAGAATATTCACATGAATTTTAGAACCCCTCGAAAATCTCCCTCTAGATCAAAATATCCTCGCTCCTCAGTGAAATCCTTTGCAAAAACCTGGAAGAACGAAAAAAAAAACTTGGAAAAATCTCTCTCACACAGCGACACCAGTCCTCCACCTCCTAGACCGCTATACGGATATCTCATAGTTCATATCGTAGACACTGCCCCTGTCAGGAGTGGGAGTTGTGGGTCTCTGATTGCTCCTGTCCCCAGGTACAGCGACCATCTCCATGGAGTCAGTCATCTCGAGGGCCCTGACAAATGACATGGGCCTGCGCCTGGCATCATTGGACGTTGGAGTGGTTGGTGTTGCCATTGTCTTCCTCTTGACCTGGGGTGACTGATGTGGTGGAAAAACAGGTACACCACCACGATTTGCTGGATGATATGCACCCCTCGGTGGATTGTACGGCTGCTGGGTGGGACTCGTGGGATTGGAGCAGTAATAATCGTAGGGTGGAGGTCTCTGCATGGACGTGAGAGTGGGATGGGGCATCTGGACACTTGGATAACCCGATGGTGAGTGATCCTTCCACATGTAGACACCTCTCTGTGGTGATCCAGCTAGCTCTCTTATATTATCCACTGTGTTGTTGGTGCGCGAGTAGTGGTGATCATTGCTACGAATTAATTCACTCTCTGATAGAAATCGACGCTGTGGACTGTAACCAGGTACACCTGAACCATTGGCACCCACTGGCAGATTGTTGTGATGCTGGACGTCGTAGTACGTCGGTGTCTCGGTCACACCGATGTAGTCCGGCCGACGTACCTGCGTCGGGGTCCCCGGGTTTGACCTGAAATCAGATGAAACACGTTGTCAGGGGGTGGAAATAATTACCTGGTAATTCCAGGGCGAGAGATGGGGGACTTTTTCTTATTTTTTTTACACTAGAATAATTCCCCTGTCAATATTTTCTTCATTTAATTTTCATTGTCATTATTACACGTTATGATGAAAATTAGATGTTAATTTATTTAATTGGCTCGTGATAATTTATGGGGCCCAATGATTATTTCCCTGCAAAAATTTTAATTGATTTAAATTAATTCGTTTGCGGTAAACATTATGTATTGAGTCATTTGATTATCTCGTGATAAGTTAATAAATTCATTGCCGCAAAATTTTTTTTACTTCCCCATAAAATTAATTAAATAAATATCGGCCATCACAAATAATGCAAAAAATCCCCCCCACTCGAAGGTAAAAAAAATAAACCGAACAGATTGAAAACTTCCAGACGAAAAGCACTTATTGCACCTAATTAACAGTAACAATGTAAATAATTCTACTAATAAATTGACCTACTAAACACCAACGAAAAAAAAAACTGTAAAATTAAACAAATAAATTGCGATAAAATTGAGCATTTCAAAAATTCATAGCCATACACTGTCCATAATACGGCTAAAAAATATTGGCATCAACATATACAGGATAGCCAGCGCGCTTTCACTGAATAAATATTAATAAATATTCATTCCTATAAAAAACACTTTGATCGAACAGCATTAGCCATCTAATTATCGAAGAAACTTAACGAAAAAATAAAGTAAAAGTAAATCAGCAGAACCTAGAATAAAATTTCAGTAACAATATTTTTTTTTTCTCTTCCATTTCAATGAATTTCTGTTTATGCAACAAAGCAGAATTTTTTTTAAAAAACACTACGGTACGGTCCTTCGTAGGATGAAGTTCGTGTTTACCTGCAGTTGGTTGCAACATGTTGGCAGAGAGCAGCTCCTTGTCAGTTACCACCCCCTGCAGTGGGACACAAACTTATCGATATACCACTGTTTTTCATTTATTTATATTCTTTTTTTTTTCATGGTAAAAACAATTTATCTTTACGTGCAGACTAGTGACGTCACTATGAACTCTTCACACTCTCTGCTTGTCTATTTTTAGGTGAATAATGATGATGGTAATTATGGATTTAGCCCTTGGACGTGTGAGAAAATTAAAAATGAGATTTTTTATAATGCTCGATGGAATTTCCCCCCCGTTTTTATTTATCTCAAGATTTTTATACTTAATGCCACGACATTTAGAAGGTTTCAATAATTACAAGATGCTCAATTAATTTTAGCGGCGGAAAAGTGAATTTATATCAACAATACGTTGTTTTACGGAGTAATCTGATAAGAAAATATTTGTAGGCGACGACTTTTCCTACAAGAGTCACTAGTGGATGTTTCGGATTGTCTCTCGGGTTTTTGAGAAAATTCCATTGAACCAGGAGAAATGATAAAAATAATTCCAGGTGTATTAGCAATCATGCCACCGATAATGAACAAAAGAATATGTATCTCTAAAAAGAATGATGTGCATATCGATAATTGCTCCTCGACCCTCCTCTCAACGACGCTGAAACCCAGTGACATGGTAATATTGAATCACAAGATTATAATGATTTACCTGCGAATATTACTGGAAATGGCAAGAGGTGTTGGCACACCGATAGCTTTTATCCGTTGCTGCATCGTTGGACTAGCACCACCTCCAACCTGTCCCTGACCTCTCTGAAGACCGCACGATCCTCCTGCACCCTCCGGTGACAGAACATCAGGGGTATGACTCCGAGAGCCGTTCATCCCCCTGAGAAAACCAAAAAATCGTCAATACCTCCAACCAGGGAAACTTGTGAATATCTCAAAAACCACAGATTTTATTGAAAAATGTTGAATGACTTTTTTGTAGCTCCGAAAATTCTCCACAAAATTGATATTATGACTTTCTCCCCGATCCCCCTCGCCACCGAGTTATTCGCGAAAGAACGTAAGGTAAATTCAAAACTGCTCCGTAACTCCCAGCTTAAAAATTGTCGAGCCACCCGAGACATATCTTGAAAACTACAGGTTCTATGGAAAAAAGTTGAGAAACTTTTTCGTAGCGCATAAAATTCCCCACAAAATTGATCTTAACACTTTTTTCTTTGTCATTCGCACTTCCCGAGTTATTCGCGAAAGACCGCTGGAAGAATTTATCGTCAATGAAAATTTTGACAAATTTTGCAAAAATAGAAAAAATAAAATACCTTGGCCTGGGATGAGGACTTCCCCTGGGGTAATGAATGGGATGATGATTCTGTGGTAATGGGTGTCTCGGTGAGTCAGTGGTCTCAACCGGTGGCAGGAAAAAATTACTCTTTGATCCGTGTCTCTGTAATGGTGGAGTTGGCTCGCAATCAGCTGACTGTGAGGCTGTTGGCTCCATGTCAGTGTCCGAGCCGTCCCTTCTGGGTGATAACTGTCAAAATAATCACAGTTAATCACTCCCCAATCTCTCAACACTGTCGCAAATGCTCAAAGAGAAAATAATATATGAAATAATTTTTTTTTTACTTTTGCTCAATCAGTGATAATGGGGTCTATTCATTTAATTTGCTAATGGGATCGATTCATGTCAACTCAGGGAGGTACTATCGTCACTTGATGTCGTGGTGAACTGCATACAAAGCCAAAATAAATAGATACAAAATTTATTCGTGAAAATTGCAGGAAATATGAATGAAAATTCATCGAAACAAGAAGATTAGTCATTAACAATTTCCGCCTAAAACCGTTCTTTCTAATTTTCCGAATGAGAAAAACAATTTATTTACAAGGAATTCAATAATTTTCTCTCAATTTTTGTGATGTCATCTTCTTATTCCAATTTTCTTTATGAAACAATGAATAAAAATGAGAAGATAATTATCATAAAGTGTCGCTTGAGCTAAATAATCTCATTATTTATCTCAGTAAATTGCATTTAATCAATGTAAGAAATGAAGACAGATCATCTTCTCATTCATTAAGCGATGATAAACGAACGATAATAAACTACTTGTTCAACATCATCAGCCACTGGAGCACACAAAGCAGCCTATTCTAATATAATTGCCTGTGCAATTCTTCTGGAATGTTTATTAACACGTTGTATCGTTGACGTCCAGTTTCGTAAATCGTTAGTGATAAAATTTTCTCACAAAAAAAAAGGAAAAATAAAGGGACAGAAAAAGAAGTTAAGTATTTTGCTGTGAGTTTCGCTAGCGTCTTACCTTATTATAAGCATTTGAACTGGCATTTCTAACACCATTGCTGCTATCCATGTAGGTTTTTACCTGGTTCTCGCTGTCTGTCGGGGATATCTCGGATGCACAGGCTCCACGACGCTTCCCCAAGTATTTTTCAGGCTTCATTAAACTGAAACAAACAATATGATAAAAACAAAGCTCATATTGAGCGCCTATTGAAGCCAGAAAAGAAAATTTCATTGGTATATTCTTAAGAAATTATTATTATTGATTATCCAGAAAAAATTGGCTTTCAGGGCTAATCTTCTCTTAGATGCTTTAAAAATGTGCCAAGATACTTTGTACATTTGGGAAATCTCAGAGAAGGAGTGACAAAATGATTGAACCTGATCATTACCTAGGGTATCGTGGTCCAAAGTGTGTGTAACAGCAATTACGAACGCACCCACGTGAGAATGGATTGTATCCACCATTGAATTTACCCGTGACCTGTTCATTTGTAGTTCTACCTCTAAATATAAGCACCACATGAAAACCTGTTAATCCACAAATGGGAAAGAACAGCAGTGTAACCACTCCCATCAGCACCATCCTGTCATTTAAATCTCAATTAAGGAATAACAAATACCACAAAAACAGGCTAAACTCCTCTCTCTATTTTTGCGTGTATCTCGAGAACAAGAAGTCACGCGAAAAAATGCTAGAGAACCTTTTCGAAGCCAACAAAATTCTCGACAAAAAATGTTCTATTACATTTCTTCTCAAGTCCGCTCGTTACCGAGATAATTAGACAATTGCAAAAATAAAAAGAATCAACCTCGATTTTAAGTTTTTTACTGTTGATGAATTAATTATTCTGATTATTATTAGAAAGGATACGCCACAGTTGTATCGACCTCCCCTAGCTTCTGCTTGTGCTGTAGCACGAAGTACAGACACAGTCCAAAAATACTGAGCATATGGCAGCTCAAAGATAATAGGAAATAGAAGAAGTATCTGTAATTCCTCCTGCCCACGCAGTTGTTGACCCACGGGCAATGATGATCGAATGTCTGTGGAAAAAAAATTGCCACACTGAGAAAAAAATTATTTTTCTTTCCATCCATCCACTCACTCAAGAGAAGCATTTCGATCAATTCTTAAACACCAATAATCATTTAATTATGTTAATAATAACATACTCCACTGAAGGCCACCGCAAACAATTACCTCTTAGAGCAGTAAATTGTCATTATTGAAACTGAATGGGAATTCTTCGGAGATGATTCAAGTGGAGTTCAAAGAATAGATACTTTTTATTAAAAGACTGAATACTTCTTTCAAGTGACTAGCTACTTTCCTGAAATAACTTTCTTCATTGGTGGAGCGATAATCTCATGAATGTATAACAAAGTGTTAAGGAAAATGAAGTCATCTAGTGAATGACGAATGAAATTTTTTTTTTAAAGATTTTTTATTACCTCGATGCAATGGTCACAAGCACTGCAGTGTGAACATCTCGGTGGTCTGTAGAATTTACACGTGACACACCACTTCATGCGAACAGTAATCCCATTGATCTCGACGTTCTTGAAGAGAGGAGCACGAAATTCGTCCTCTCTGTCTTCATCTGGAGGTGCTGATAATTCAAGAGAAAAATAAAACATGAAAAAACCGATTGCATTATTTCCATCCACAGCTCTTAGTGCAATATCTCGATATCCATGAGAGCTAGCGAAACATTTGTAGGGACTTTTTTGTACATCTCATTTTGCTCTACAAAAAAGTTTGTTACGAAGATTCTCTATCTTCAGCGGATTCCGAGATATCACGCAAAATTCAGTTTAACAGAGATCTATCGTAATATTTTGAGCTCTACCTCAGAAAGTGCTCTTGATAGAGCAGTTTATGATGGCTCATTAGCAAGCTCAGGAAATTTCCCCCGAAAGAAAGTACTTTCAAACCCTTTCCCTCCAACAATTCCTTGGAAAATCAATATATCGAGTGTTGCGTGCAAAATGTGATTTTCGCAGGTTTTAGGGGCATTGAGGGAGTAATTTTTGGCTGTCGTGCGGACTTTTCAGCCGGAAATTTTCCTGGCAACTCGCTGGAACGAGTGTCACCCCACTACGATGATTATTTCCAAAAATACCTCGTACCTTTTGGTATGACACCAGGATCCATAAACGTGGCGAGCCCAAAATTGGTGAGTACGAGGAAGGTAATGACTCCCTGGAGTGCTGGAACCCATGGATACTGGAATATGTAGTATTGGCACCTGGAGAAATCCCGAGTGCATTAGTGATTCCCAGAAGACAATGAGTAACTTATCATTTCACCTCGATTCCACTTGATTCTTAATAGCATTCTAACGAGTGTTTCCAACTTCAAATCCATTCCAATTTCCCCAATAATGTTTCGTAAATTTCCCCTTTCCCCCCAAAAATATTTTCATTGACTATTGATTCATCATTCATGTATTGGATATCAAGCAATAGAGACAATATAAAGGAATAATTTGATAACAAATCAAATATAATAATTAAAATTTATATCCAAAATGAATTCAAGCCCAAAGGTTCTCACAAAAAATCTAAAGACATGAAACAAAATGTCAAAAACACCTGTCCACACGTGATCCCAAAAAAATCGTCAGAAAGACCTCTAAAAAACTCACGGATAATAGAAATAAAGTGTCGTAGTGATGAGTAGAAGGCTCCAGGCAAATGTGGCTGGCAGACATTTCGTCTTCACGTTGCATACCGGCATTATGCTGTTTACCCCCTCTCACAGCCCTGGTACACGATAAAAAAAAAGAACCCCCGTGAAAATGCACTTCTGGTTGCTCTCACCAAAGTAAAAAAAAAACGTTAAAAAATAACAACAAACACTTATGACAAAAATTTCTGCTCCCAGATAACATGGCGTTGTCGATGGTGTGTCTCAGCTCGTCATCACTCTCATCCTCATATTTTTTTTCCCGAGCTCCTGTCAAAGGAATAACTATTCACAATCAAGTCCACGAGGTGAATCCTTCAATGGGGCATCAGCTCACACCTCTCGTTCCTAGGTGATTCTATTTTTATCATCACAACCACTTGGTGGACCAACGTGCACCAGTCGTCATAACGATGAGCCACGAGACAAGACGTCAGGACAATTAAAAATCCAACAACTACGCCCCTTCAAGCACTCCAATCACTCCTAATTGTTTCTCTCACTTTGCTCCTCGGGGTTGGGATTGCACTGGGCTTTGTCGGAGTGTTCACGCGCGATGGAGGATCTCAGGACTTTCAGACATATCCGTCCACTTACACGGTGAACATCAATTTTTTAAAGCTGGGGACACACCTGGGGACAAGAGCTGGGGCTCGAGCACTCGATTTATTTTCGTTTTCCTATCGTTTTTCCTGATTATGAGGAACTGATTCTCTCATCTGCTTTCGCGTTTTGGAGGTTTTGGGAGAACTGTCGGGTCAAAGATGGCCGCCGAAACAACAGCTGCGCGACATCTGATGGACACTGCGTCGCGCCACAAATTTAAAATGCATCATCACCACTTATTCAATTCAACATTTACTGGTAATTATTGCATGATTTTTTTATTTAAAAAAAACAGAAAACCGATAAAAACCTTTTCTATCTTCAAAGTCACTTCAAGGTCACAATTGGTTGAAGATTTCGCGGGTTTTTTTGGAAAAGGCGGGTACCAATCAGACATCGCTCCTCTGAACCTCTGGCGCTGCCATCGGAACCGTTTGAATTTCCTTTGTCGAGGGCTGCAGTAGTTTAACAGTCGTGGATCGGTGCTGCAAGTTTCCACAAGAACCTGTCGGAAGATTTGGTGGAAAATAGCCAGAGTCTCGCAGATCTACTACAGAGGAGGAATTCAATCATTGGCGAGGTGCACAGGCTTCAACAGTCTGCAGGTGTAATTTTTTTTCTAAATATTAAAAAAATGGCAGATGATTCGTTCATTGTCTTCGACTCTGACGAGGACGCACTCTCCCCGGATAACTCCATTGAAAATCGAGAAAATGTTATCATCCCGGACTCCGACGCGGAATTGTAAGTTTTTAAAATTTTTTCCTGATTTTTTTATGTGTCCATGTTTTATGATGGCTTCACGGAAATTCGAAAAGTCCAAGGTCCAAGAATAAATTCGGAGGCAAACGGATAAAACGACGTTCTGTCGATTTCGATGATTTTGAAGATATCTCCTAAACTGAAGGGAATAAAAATCAAAATAAATACACCTCAGGGTATTTCTAAGATTCCTCGTCCTTGAAATTTCTCCCCTTCTGCTAGCCCTCTTCGCATAACAAGTAACTGAAATTGTAAATTAGATAAATTGAGGTACTCAGAATAAATGTGATGTGTTTACTTAAATTAATCCATCTTTTTGACTCTAATTGTACGAGTTGTCTTAGTAACCGATAACCCAAGGTTTTGGCTTTAATGATAAATAAGAACGTGGAATCAGGAAGAAAGTTAAATTTGATTTATTTACTTTAATATTTTACCACTGACTTTTATTTTTCTTATTTGTACCCAGCGATGAGAACGAGGAGGACGTGCCCGAGGGCCGGTTGACTCCTTCTATCAGGAAAGCCATTCGACGCAGTATCTTCAATATGAGCCACGTCGCTGATTCTGATGAGGAAGATGAGGATGACGACGAAATGAGTGAGGATGAAGTTCAGAAGTCACTCGAGAAATGTAAGTCATTTTTATGTAACTAAAGTAGCGAAAAACTATTCATCTAAATTAACGCATTTCAGCTCGACGACTCTACCTATCAGATTCAGAATCAGAAGAAGAGAGTAGCTTCATCCAGGAGCGGAAAAAAAGACAGAACCGTATCGTAGACTCCAGTGACGAAGAGACGGAAGCCCGGAGGTCTCTACCCTCGAGGTTCGAGGGTCTTTTGGACACATCAAATGAGCAGGAATCGACGAGCGTCGTCACCTCGCCGACAGCAATTACCTCAAAGCACCGGGACACCAGTAGTAGGTCCATCTCCACTCTGGACTCCTCAAAGATCTCCAGGAGCCCGACAAGATCCCCCCATCGTCCTCAAACTTCGAGTGATTCCCTCGTTATTGAGAGCTCCAGCAATGACGAAACAAGTCCTGGCTCAGTGAGAAAATCCATATCGAAATCCAAACAATCCAAAGAAGTCATCTCCATCGACTCGGATAGCCCTACAGAGAACTCACAGCTTCAGGACAGGTCTGCTGGGGAAGTTACAGCGTTAACTATTGCACAGGAGGAACTTGGACTAAACAACATCGACCCTCTCATGGCACAACGTCGAGCACTGCTGGTCATCGAGCTTCAGAAAAAGGAGTCAGAGCTCGCAAAGATGGATTTGTTCATTCAGTCTGGAAAACATCAGCTTCTTCCAGATGGCGGTAATTAGTACCAATTGTTTTTTCATTGGCAAGGATTAATTACAATTGAAAATTAGAATTTCAATATAATTATATTTTCAGTTATAGTTTCGATTTCTTCTAATATCCAAAACTCAAGAATAACATTTTATAAAAAATGGTGGAATTCTAATTTCCTTTTTTCCCATTTTCCCATCGTGAATTTTCTTCTCCAGGTAAAAAATTGCTGGATACAGCAGCAGAGACATCATCGGAGATTCTGAGAATACGTAAGGAGATTTCAGAGTGTCGCCTGGTGGAGCGAGACCCCCCGAGTCCTAGATCCACATCACTGTCGCCAGAGGTGATCCCGAGAGGCGTCTCAGTAAATCCAGTAGCCCAGAGGTTCCCCCCGGCGCCTTCTCGCCGCTCCAGTGACCCTGTGTTCATTCCCTCTGATTCTGACTCCGAGAACCCGACCCCTCCGGAGAATCCCCGGCTTTTGAACCGTCCGACGACAGCTCCAATAGGAGAACTCGGGAAAAAAGCCTTGGAGACCTTCGAGCGCGAGCAGGCACTGACAATTGAGACCCTGGAGACCTTCCACGGCTCTCTGATCTCTCGTCCAGGGGAGGACGAGCTGGCAGACGATCCGAGAGGCCTTAAAGTTCCCCTGATGAATCATCAGAAGCACGCTCTAGCCTGGCTGATGTGGAGGGAGCACCAGAACCCCCCTGGGGGTGTTCTAGCCGACGACATGGGCCTGGGGAAGACCCTCACGATGATTTCTCTCGTTCTGAAGACAATGCAGTGCGAGTACACCGATGGAGACTCCGATGAGGGTTCCTCCTCGAATCTAAGATCATTGAAACCCCTGGGGGGAACTCTTGTCGTCTGTCCGGCATCCCTTATCGGTCAATGGGACGGTGAGGTCAACAGAAGGTGCAAAAAAGGTCTACTCAACGTGGAGCTCTACCACGGAACTAAAAGGGAAAAGGCTCCCAGGAGACTTGCCAGAAATGACATGGTAATAACCACATACAACCTTCTCAGCAGAGAGCACAAGGCCGATGGTGTCCTCTTCAGGATTGACTGGAAGAGGGTAATTCTGGACGAGGGACACGTCATCAGGAACCACAAGAGTCAGGTGTGCGAGGCTGTCTGTGATCTCACCTCGAGGCGACGTTGGGTTCTGTCAGGTACTCCAATCCATAATAAAGAGATGGACCTATTCTCTGTTCTCAAGTTTCTCAAGTGCTCACCATTCAATGACATTAGAGTGTGGAAACGATGGGTCGACAATAAAAATCAAGCTGGACACGATCGTCTTGCCACCGTTATGAAGACCCTCATGCTGAGGAGAACGAAACAGGAGCTCATGAACTCTGGAGCTGTTGAGAATCTCCCTGAGAAGTCCACCGAGATCATCTGGGTGAAGCTAGATCCCGAGGAGAAAATTGTTTACGAGAAAGTAATGCTGTATTCCAAAACAATTTTTGCGCAGTTTCTGCATCAACGTGCTGAGAAAGAGCACATGTTCAAGATGGGTGCGGGATTATATGATAGACCTCGAGCTGTTAATAAGAATCCTTTTAATAAAGCGCAGCAGAAGCTCCTGGCACAGCACGCGGATGTGAAGTCTCATCAAATTTTGACGCTTTTTTTGAGACTGCGACAGATCTGCTGCCATCCGTCGTTGATCGATGCTATGTTAGATCAGGAGGACATCGAGCAAACAGGATTCGATGAAGGGGAGGGCCTAGCCCAGAGGATGGCTAGTATAAGGCTTGACGTAGACGAGGAAGCACCTGACGGGCCCTCTGAGGTCGATGACAGGGTATCAGGCAATCTCCTCACATCGGATAATCCTGTTTTTGAGAGAAGCAGGCAGAGTTCGAAGATGAGAGCTGTGTTGGAGCTCCTCCAGTCGATACTAGAGAAAGAGGAGAAAGTCATTATCGTCTCCCAGTGGACCAGTGTTCTGGATATTATTGCTGAGAATCTCCAAAAGATTAGGGTCCCCTACAATTCTCTCACTGGGGCTGTGATGGTGAAGGACAGGGGAGCCATCGTCGACAGCTTCAATCATGATAAAGAACCCAAGGTGTTGTTGCTGTCACTCACTGCTGGGGGTGTAGGGCTTAACCTCGTTGGGGCCAATCATCTGATGCTCGTGGACATCCACTGGAATCCACAGCTTGAGAGCCAGGCACAGGACAGAATCTACAGATTCGGGCAGAAGAGGAATGTTTTCATCTATAAATTCCTGTGTTCTGATACCATCGAGGAGAAGATAAAAAATATGCAGGAGGATAAGCTGGAGTTGGCGAAGACTCTTCTCAGTGGTGGAGGAAGGGCTAAGGCTGCCAAACTCACGATGGACGACCTCAAGACCATCTTCGGACTCTAACCTAATATTTGATACGATCTTTAGTGGGGAAAGGAGTAATAGTATTATCTTCAAAAACCTCATACCTTATTTGTGGCAATTATGATGTCTACGGCAAGGAGTTTGTTGAATAATTCTGTAATTTCTATTGAACTTATTTATAATTTAATGTCATCGGTCCCCAGAATCACGCGATTCTAACCTCAGTTTGATCGTTAGAATCGCGGGTTCTGGGCCCAATGACATACAAACTATCCGCATATTTTGACTACTGGGATTGCAAAACGCGCCTTCGGCTCCACCAGCCAACGAACCCATACCACACTTGTTACTTAATATACCAATTTTTTCTTTAGTCATAAAAAATGAATTTATCAAATTTATTAAATAAAATTATTTATCAAATTATTTATGATATATAATTGCATTTCTTGAAGAAGTGGAAAATGAAGAGGTGGAAAATTAATCCACCTCGGCAGCGAAGAGGCAGTAGATGACAATTCGATTTACTTTCTTGAAGAAAAAAATAAATATTTCTGAAATCGAGAGATCGATAATTTACTATTAAATATTACTATTTAGCATTCGGCGACTGTAATGCAATATATAATCGTGAAACATTCTTTGTATGTAATTATGCTGTCGTATGTAATTACATTTTAATGATCTCGTTTTTCACTTTATTTCTTTGAAATTAATTAGTTATCTATCAGAGTTTTCAGCATAATTGACAATGAAGACACCTGGAAATTTCCTTGGAAAAATGCGGAAATTTTAGGTCTCATAGAAGTGGAGTTTGTTTACCTCGGAGAGAGAGTCGTCGAGTGTTATTTGAACAATAATGCTGTCATGTTCGAGGGATTGTTGAAGTGAATTCCATTGGAGGACAGATAAAGTATTCCACAATGGAGAAAGATAATTCAAACAGTTGGGAGTTCTACGTGGGACTCGTCCTCGCTGTCAGCTCCAATGTATTCATAGGTTAGAGGTCATAATTTTTAGGTGTTAGCACTATTTTTTCAGACATGAGATTTTTTAATCATAAATTTGTTTTTCAGGTATCAGTTTTATAATAAAAAAAAGTGCTCTCGTGAATCTCCAGAGGTACGGACTGAGAGCTGGAGCTGGAGGGCATGGATACCTCCGGGAGTGGATGTGGTGGGCTGGATTATTATCAAGTACGTTTTAGTGAGAGTCATTTGAAAAATCCCAACCAATTAACAAGGTCCTAGGTTCTGCCACTGCATATCTGAGAATACTCTTCAAAAAGAATGCCAAACTTAACTTCAATTGTTTGATTTTCTCAGTGGGAATTGGAGAAGCTGCAAATTTCGTTGCTTATGCTTTTGCTCCAGCCTCAATTGTGACCCCTCTGGGAGTGCTCAGCATCGTCATTGCAGCCATACTCTCTCCCAGGTACCTCCACGAAAAGTTGAACTTGTTAGGAAAGGTGAGTAAATGAAGACAGTTATAAAGGGATGAATTCAATATTTTCCTTTCATCAAATTTTCTTTCCTAGTTGGGCTGCTTTCTGTCCATCGTAGGATCCACAATTATCGTCCTCCACGCCCCAAAAACCGAAGAGATAAATACAGTCGAGGATTTGGTCTACAGGCTCCAGCACTCGGGCTTCACTCTCTACATAATTTTTGTGATTCTCACGACTCTTCTTCTGATATTCCACGTGGGGCCCAGACACGGAAAGGAAAATGTGACGATCTACGTATTCCTCTGCTCAATAGTCGGCTCCCTCACAGTAATGAGCTGTAAAATTCTCGGGCTCTCCATCAAGGAGACGATCTACACTGAAAATAACAGGATGGAGGATTGGCTGACGTGGGTCTCCCTGTTCTCCATAATCCTCTGCATCATGGTGCAGATGAACTACCTTAACAAAGCCCTAGACCTCTTCAACACTGCAATCGTCACTCCAGTGTACTACATATTTTTTACGACATTCGTGATAATTGCATCAGCCATATTATTCGAAGAGTGGCAAATCATGACGTACCAGAATATCCTGGGATCCATCTGTGGTTTTTTCGTTGTTATCACAGCTATTTTTTTAATGAACGCTTTCAAGGATCTGAATTTCACCTACTTCGACCTGAAGACACTCTCTCTATCCAGGACTGGGAGAAGGAGTGTCCAGAGGTACTCGTATGACGAGGAAATGCCACAACCAGTGAACAGAGACGTTGTGGACAGGAACAATTATTTGGACACCTGACGAAAGAAAAAAGCCAAACGAAAAATCACTTCGTTGGTTTGATTTTATTCTTTGAGAATCTTTCAATGTTATTCATATCTCTATACTTCAACAGCAAATCGGTTAAGAGAGAGAGATCAATTGTCCAAAAACCATCCATTTTAGTAGATAATAACAAACGACACTTATTTATGGTAAATATAATTAAACATAGCAAATCAACATTCAAGAAAATTTTTTTACTCGACATATCTCATTTTACTGTTTTGCTGCTGAAATTGTTATTGACTAATTAATTATGATGGCTGTGATTTTAATTTTTCTTCACGTAATAATATACATTTTTTTTAGAAATAAAAGTTTCTCCGATTTGGTAATTTTCTTTTCAAATTTCCCTCACTGCTGTAATAGAAATGCAGCTTGAGGACAAGTTCGAGCTTGTTCGACACCTTCGGCATTCAAAAAGACCGTGAATGCCGTAAACAATCGTTTCAGTCTGAATCGTCTAATTGGAGTACTGATAATTGACAACTATCAATACTAAGAGCTTGCTGCTCTTTTTTTTAATTAACAATGTGAAATTACGCCAATGATTCGATCAAGTGACTGAGTTTCTATGGGATGAAGATGATAAAAGGCTGTGGCCCAGGAAGACGGTTATGAAAGGATTATTTTTGTGTGGACAAGTGACACACTGACTGGTATAATCGCATAATTTATTGATAAAAGATGTATTCTAAAAACCGACGACGAGATTACACGAATGCAAGGAGGAGCTCTCTGCAAGTGAACCTGAGTTTCGTCTCAAATTCATCAGACACCAGTGACACAGAGGTTAAGAACATAAATGATAAACAGGAGATCCTTGACGACAACATGAGAAAATTGAGGGAAGCAATTCTTCATAAAACTCGAGAGTTATTCGATAATCAAAATGTCTTGTGCAAGAAGACAGCGACGGTTCTAGGGGGTTTAGAGGATGATCAGAATGATCAGAATGACCAGAATGACCAGAATCAGTCAAATAGTCAAGAGAAAAATGAAAGAGTTTCCCTGGTTCTCGGTGAGAATGACTCGAATGATTGCCTCCCAAAATCATCGATCATCAGTGAAAAAGGACCCAGTGGGAGTCCTGTCGTGAGCAGCAGCAATAAAAAATTCACTTCAGTTATCTTCTCCCCCCGGAAAACCAGATCATCTCATTTGGCAAATAAAGACGGAATAATCATGGAAAAACCGATAAAATCCTCGACTTTCATAACTGATAACTCCACTGCGATCAGTTGTCCAGAGATTGGAACTAGTAATTTAGAATGTATCACTCCAAAATCATCAAAACCAGTGATAAGGGACGTGACAACGTGTCATGTATCTCTTGATAAGATTGATGGGTACGAGAGAATAAATCGCACTAGAAATCTGAAGGAGATTCCCATGGAGTTGACTCCAACAGTGGGAAACCCCATGCCGGTAACTAAAATTAGTGCGGAGGCCATGAATCCCCTGGAAAAGCTTTTGCAGAGGAATAATGAAAGTCTTCGGAGTATTAGGGCATCTCTGGAGGTGAGAACTTCGGTGGATCCACTTGTCAATGACTCGGCGATGAGTCAGTCCAGGCCTCGTCAGTTAGTATTCAAGGAGAGGAACAGTATTTCGAAGAGAAAGAGCCTCTCCTTGAGTAAATCGGATAGTTCTGTTAAAATAATTCACCCAGCGTTGAGTGAATCGAGCACGAGTGGACGTGATCGTTTGTCAATGGACGTTAATACTTCCCTGGGGTCTAGGCGGTCAATCAATGTGAGTGTCGTCGAGAGTACGCCTTATCCCGTCACTCGTTCGATGATGATGAAGACTCACTCCAGGCTTATAACTCTCTCGGAGAAAAAATCAACTGACTCTCCTGAAACACTCAAGAATTCTATCACATCGAAATCCTTGTAAGTATTTCAATAATTACAACTTCACAATTTCACAGTAAGAATTTACCTTAGAAACTATCCATTAAAAGCGGAAGCATTAGAGGACCTTTTTTATAGCTGATTAAATTTCCCACAAATAAAGTTTTTTCATGCCTCTTTCTGAAATTAATAGGCAATTAATAGGAAAAAATTAATAGGAAATTAATTAAGTTTTTATTTACATCAGTGAATACTTAATTACTGGTTCTTAATGAATTTGGTGCCCTAACACTCAGAATTGGAATTAAATTTCCAGAAATCCAGAACCAGTGCCATCACCATTGTCCCCCCGATTAGAAGATACGATTGTCCTCGCTACCCCGCATCCCCTCAAAGGGCCAATAATAAAGGACTCAGACGAGAGTGAGGTTGAATCGGATAATCCCAGACAGCGAGAAAGTCCCCTGGAAGACTCCTCAGACGACGAGCGAAGCGAGAAAGAGGACAATGTCTCACCTAGAAAAAAACAATGCAAAAGGAGAAAGTTATTTACCCAACTAAATAACTCTGGGTTGGTATCATTGAGTCCAATGGAGAGAGCAGAGCCTTCGCCGAAGCCGAAAACTCCAGTGATAGAAGGAAAGAGGAGAAGAAAGATCCCGAAAATACTGATCCACAAAAATACTCAGAAGGAAGGAACAGATACTGAGAAAACCGAGGTGATTAAACACCGCGTAACACTTCCAAAGCCCGAGAAGAAGACGAAGAAGAGAAAAATAACGAGCAAGAAGATAGTAATAAAGAAGAAATTGAATCCAGATGTAGTGCGTCTGTTGAAGGAGGTTGAAGGTGAAGCCCTCGATAATTCAGAGCACAGCAGAGACTCGTTGAACGACTTCACAGACAGTAAACGAGTAGCCACAAAGGGCAGACACCACACCAAGCGCATCTACATAGTTACAACAGGCTTGTGCAATGGTGACAAGGATCTGGTGAAGGCTGCTGTGAAGAAAATAGGAGGTGCCAGGATAGAGACGTCAGTCACTCGTCAAACAACACACATAATCACAACTGGAGTGCGTACGATAAATCTCTTGAGGGGTATCATCAGGGGCTGCTGGCTCGTCAGTATCCTGTGGCTCAAGAAATCTATCGAGGCGAGGAACTGGCAGAGCCCTGAGCGCTACGAGATCGATCACTTCTCTAAGGCTGTACAGGAGAACAGAAGGGACAGGGAGATATTCGGTAGGTCGTATGTACCAGAGTTATTTGCAACCTGTGGATTGATTTACATCGACAGTTCCACGACACCACCCCCAGAGATACTGAAAGAGTTGATAAAAACAGCAGGGGGGACGGTCATCGAGAGCCCCCGCAAGGCCAAAATCATTGTTGGATCGAAGGGACTCCGAGAGATCTGGATTTTGGATTCAATAACCACCGGTGAACTACAGCCACTTGACGATTATCGTCGTCATTAATTGGACATATAAAAAAATATTTATTTTATTTTTTCCTAGTAATTGAAGTTGGCTTTACAGATGAATTGTGTGAATACAGATCATTGGATATATTTAGATAAATATAGATGAAGATATAATATATATAAATATATGATTTGGAATCAGAGTTGTTGGTCCAGCAAGGGGGAAATTGAAAGGATAATAACTGTGGGGTTTGTGATGCTGTGTAAATTACTGTGGGTTTAAGGACATTAGAATATTCATGGGTAAGGTGGCCTCGGCCTGTACACCCGTGAAAGGGATGATGAAGACAGGGTTGGAAGCGGCAACATTGCCCTCCTCCTCACCCTGCCATCGTCTCGGTAGGCACTCGAGTCGTCAAGCACAGTCGCTACTCAGGGTTTGGCCGCTCTATCCCAAAAGTGCACCTAACGCTGGGGTTGGCTTGGGCTTGTTGAGAAGGCTGCCGCAGGGGCTCTCTTGCTTTCACTCAAAATCATCGAACAACTGGAAAACTTTTCCGCCCTTTTACTATTTCCTCACTTCTTTTTCATTTTATTATTTTATTAACAGGAGTCAAAACTTTTCCAGGGGAGATTAACAACTTTTTGAAGGGCAGGGGGATAATCAATTATTCGTTAATTCGTCAATAATTCATTGAATATGAGTTATTAAATGACGTTCTCTTGTGGGAACTATTTGGATGGAAAAAGCCAGGGATAATCCGAAAAAAAAAGAGTGAAAAACTTTCATATTACCATTAAGGAAAGGAAGAAGGTGGTGCTGGGGATAGAGGTTCGTCGCACGATGGCTTTTACCGTGATTAGTACGAGGTACAGGGAGGGGAAGTGAATGCGAATATGCGAGTATTTTTTTACACATTACAGCACGAAAAAGCCGACGTTATATAACGTGAGTTACTCGTCTGCGTCCAATTTCCATTGTGCAATTTTCCTGTACTCTTATTCACGTATTTCCACTCCTCGGCTTGTCATTTCCGTTTTTTTTTGTTTTTCCTCATCGAAGGTGTCTACACCTGTGAAATCCGAAGTTATCATATCCATTTCATACGTTTCCAGGTAATCGGCGTCGTAATCCACGTATGTATGGCCTCTCGATCCTCGTTTAATCTGCTTTTTTACTCCTGTCTTCGTGCACTCAAGTTTCCAGGTATAATTACACCCTGGTTCCTTCATCGATTCCAGGCCTGCTAAATGAGAAGTGACAGGAACACGTGTCTCTTCCGATCGATTGGGCAGTTATTCAAGCTTTAAGGCCAACCCCTGTTTCTTTGGAAACTCAATTATCAGTTTTTATGGGGGAATTCATTTTTTTCACTGCTCTCCTCATGATAAAGTAGAGTTGACGACAGGAGAGTGCCTTTTATTATTTTTACTCATCAATTTACTCATTGAATTGTTCTTTTTTGATACATAAATGATTGCAATGAAAAACTCTTGATTTTCGACGGAGATATGAATTTAATAACATTATAGCAAAATCTAGATGGGAATTTCAAAAGAAAATCATCCCCCGGCACTTGGATGTTTAATATGAAATCCAGTTTAGATTCTGGATAACTTTGGTCATGTTAACGTATTGTTAATCCCCAATTTCGCCAGAAACACGGGAAAAAGTAGGCGATGAAGTTAGAAAAAGGTAGAATTCAGCATCGGTTTAAACGAGATTAGTGAGTGTTGTCAAGCCCCTGCAACGGAATCTGCACTTCCACCAAATTACAAACTTCCGGAATAAAGTAATTGGATATATCCGGCGGTGTAATCGACTTTAGAAATATAGTTAGGAATAAACAGTGTTGCTGGGTTTTTGTTCATCCTCTCGTGAAAATAATGAAAGTTATAAGGAAGCAAGAACTTTTTAAGAGAACAAACGTGTACTTGACTTTTACGGTGCATTTATCTTACTTTTTTATTCTTCAATGTTATTTTTTTTTCTCTGTTTACGTCAGTCCATAGAAATCCTCAACATAACGTATCTCTGTAGCCCAGACTCTACATACTCGGGCAGGCGATTTGTATTCCTATGTAAAGTACCGGTGCACATGTGTGCATCACGATGTAGGTGAAATGATGGCTTGCAGAGCACGTGAAAGTATTTTTATGAAAGATCATCTCGGGGGGCTGACAGTTTTCCAAGCATCATTTTTCGCCTGATTACGAGAACGCATTTCTGTGAGGAGTCCCTTGGATTAATGATTTTAACGAGGGATCTTCATGATTTAACACGCAGAATCCATTTGGAAGAGATAGAAGGAAAAAAATGAAAAATTTCAATTGATTTATCCCGCGGTAGACCTGGGGAAACTGTTGACAAAAATATAATGAAATTCATTCGGTCATTTGGAAAGTCGGTACCTGCGGCGGAATGGCTGGATGCAGTGGAAATAATTGAAATTTGTTGAAAGAATTGTGAATGTAAAAATCTCGTTGTTCATTTGTTATTTAGGCCCCTTGGACAAAATTATGCAAAATGATGAGAAGAAAAAGTTGAGAAAATTGAGGGAACTTGCTGAATCGCGAGATGAACGGCTGCTCGAGTTGAAAAAAGAGATTCTGAAGCTCGAAGTTCAGCACCGCGTCCTGGAGAAGGAAAAATTGAAGTACAGAAAGAAATTCGAGGAGGCGGTACTGCGTGGCATCGCCAGATTAAATTCTCAACACCAATTGATGAATAATGCAACACCGTCTTCGTCGATTCAAGAGGATGAGGATGAGGATGAAAATTGTTCAGAAGTCTCAAGGAATGATACCCCCGATCCGGGAAACACCCCGACATCTAGTCTCGCTGGAAAAAAACGAAAATACGCGAGACGAAGACGGAGCAGTGATTGACTTTTGTTTTTACCCAGTCTGTGAAAATTGATGGTTCCCTTTGGACGTTCTCTTTAAAATTGAATTTATTTTGATAGAGGAGGTAAATTAATTGGTAGGATATGGCAGCTGCCAAGTGTCCAGAACCCGTGGAGGAGCAGAAGGTGATGAAGGATCGGAAAATGACAGACGCTGAGCGCTTGGTAAAATTGGAGAAGGAGGTAACCTGTCCATAAATACGAGATTAATAGCGATTCATTCAAGGGGAAAAAGAAAACTTTTCATTTCCCGGGATTTATCCCCTACTTTTTTGCTATAGACTGAAATAATGAAATCTAGGCTTGATATTTATATGAATTTAACAGGGACATGTTTCAAACTCATAGATTTTGTTGCTAGAATTCAGGAAATATTCAGGTCATTAGTGGATTTTAATAGCTCCTCACTACGTACCTCACTACGTACCTCACATGTAATTAAATTTAATCAGTTTAATGCTGATGAGAAAATCGAATATTAAACTTTTTTTTGCAATCATTCTTATTGCCACCTCACTATTTTGAACCACATATTCGATTTAGACATGAGTATTTGCGAGAGTAACAAAAATTATGGAGTCTATTTAAACAAAATTACTATTTTGCAAAAGGTCATACGTAAAATGTGATACTTTATCATCGATAACTCTGGATCAAATCGAATTGTAAAAGGCTGATTAAGACCTTTAAAATTATATCTAATATATCACTATAAATCACATAGAACGCTCTAATAATCTTTATCATGAAAGCAGAGATACGTAAATGAAGTTCGCCTGAGTCGAAACTCGTAAGACTGATTCCTTATTGGTCAACTCGAATCCGAAGTCGAAATTCGAATTCGGCGCACGGAGTGCGCAGTAGATCTCGTTAACAATAAAAGTGAACTATAGAAGGTGACATAACAATGGAAAATGAAAAAATAGTATATTATATAGTATATATATTATATAGTATATATATTATATGGTATATATTACGCACGCGTTTCATACAAAATTTTATGTCATCGCGCCCGGAATCCGCGATTTAATCGAGCGAAGCGAGGTTAGAATCGCGCGATTACGATCACCGATGGCATAAATTCAATAACTTTACAAAAGCTGACAAAATTAGGTACAACTGATATTTCAAAGACCAATAAAATCCGTTTTCTAAACGATCTACAAATATTGCTATTGTTTCGTTTTGGAAATATCGAAAAATTAAATAAATGTGAAAATGTAAGCAAACCATGAAAATTCCATTTTTACATTCAAAACGTCATAACTCCATGAAAGACTATGGGAATCACATAATGCACGTATTTCTTTGAAGCTTATCCCATAAACTGTTAAATGCCCATCCAGGATATTACCGGAAATTACGAAAGGAATGGAGAAATTATCCCAAACGGGGGTAATCCCAAAAAAATCCCAAAAAAATCCCAAATTATCCGCACACGGATCATTTAGTTATGGAATAATTGATTTAGTTTAATTTAAAAAATTTTGTGTGCAATTATGATTGCGTCACTCATTTTTTTATTGATGACCCAGTGAATTTTTTTAGGTGACTCTCCTGCGCAATGATTTCGACAGAATGAAGTGGGAACAGGCAGTAGCAGAAACGGCAATAGGAAGAGCCATTATCCGAGGTTCAGCATCACTCGGAAACGGTGGATTCTGTCCAATGGTTGACTCCGCAGGTCCTGTAAAAAATCGTCAAGTAATGGATGACCCTCAGAAAAATCCCTGCACGAAAATTCCATCCCAATTATCCGGAAAAAACGCCATAACTGATGGAAAACAGAAACAAGGGAAAGAAGAATGTGGATACTTCACTCTCGGATAATTTTGATATTACTCGTCTACCACTCGAGACTTTCAATAATGAATACTCTGGATTTGCCGATTAATTAAAAAATTCCATAATCCAGGTGAAGATGAAAAAATAAATCGATGGAATTACGGAGTCTCTCAAGAGTTGCAATTCTTTGAGTTAACCGAGGCGAACTGATATTTTTCGTCGCATACACGAGCAATTATTTTGAACGTGGCGTTAATTAATGCACGCGTATCATTGTTACTCCTGCAGTCACTTAATTGCAGGTATTTCAGGTCCTCCGCTGCGTATCGACTACTCGATTTCTCTTAATGAACCAATTATTATCGACAACTCTAACGTTATCCTCTCATATCGGAGAAATTTTTGAAAAAAATCCTTGTGAACTATAATTTTTTGCGGTTATTACATAAAGACAAGTACAAGTTGAATGAAATGACGCAAAATATTCTTGAATTTTTATGTTCTTAGAATCTCAAGAAATTCGAAAGTCAAATTATGAATCATCATTAATTAATATAATTCTGAAAATTCTATTTATTCTTTATTACAATTACAATGACAATTAATTGACATTGAATTTTTACACATTGAGAAAAAAAAATTTAAAAAACATCGATTTTTAATCGATGGACTAAGGAGTTATTGGTTCAATGATACAGGAATTTCCGGACCATCTTAAAAATGGCAGATTAATTGAAATATTTCTGGTAACTACCTAAAATTTTTCGAACATTTAATTATCATATGGAAGAATTCGTACCTTTCATAATAGATTATATACATTCATGGAAAATACCGATTTATTTGAGAGAAGTATTTTCGCAGCCTCATGGAATCCCAAGAAGATAAAGGCAATCAGTGGCTTCATCGGCTTCAAGTAAACCTGCAAGTAATCCCATTTTATAACAAGCAATTAATTTCAATTCATCATTTAATTTATCTGGGAAAAACCTACAAATTTACTTGCGTGTAGTAAATATCTACTGTGACAGAAAAATGAGAATAGAATTCTTCTCAAAAATTTCGCGACGTTTAATTGAATTTTTCCTCCGAAAAATAGCAAAGGACGGGAATAAATGCATGAGAGAGGAAAACAGACGGGTCTAAGACGAAAATTATTATCTGAGACCGGTTTCCAACTGGCTCAGCCTAGATGGTACCTTTGCGATATGCCAGTGCAAATATTAGATGGATCTGCGGGTAGCTCCGGTGGTTTTCATACACCGGAGCTTATACATCCCAATGTTTTCATTTAATATCCCCTGAATACTGACGGCACGGATACACCATTCAAGTTGTAAGATTGCGCGAGCCATTTCCTGTGACCAGTCAGATGTCGTCTTTGAGATATGTTCTCAGTGGGTTGGCCGTACATTACTCCCGGGTTTTCAGTTGTATAGAGCTACAGTCGAGACCTACAAGACGTGAGCTTTTTATCCTGCTGGTGTACGAATGCATTTGAACGGAGATAGGGTGAAATTCTGATGGGAGATTCGAGTAATGTCATTTATGCGGTATGGCTCCAAGGCCAATTAAAAAGTTGCTCCATTATAATGGAAATTTTCCGGTTTTTTCTCCATTTTTCGGAAAAACACCGGACTCGGAGTATTTACCATCCTAGGACTATTGATCGATTTATTTCTCTCACTCAGAGATTCATTCTAAGAATAAGATGGAAAACTTTAATATCATCAGCCAAAAAGTCAAGCTTTACTCGAGTCAAACCTGATTTATCAATTTTCTATTCTGTAAAAGTCACACAATTTTACGAAAGTTCGGAAAAAATGTTTTGAGGGAAACAGTCTAGAGTGACTGAGTGTCTTGGTAACTTCCTCTATCCAAATTCTCTAATTGGCCATAAATTTTTATTCTTTTAACAATTCTTAAATGGTCAACAAAAAATTTTCAACATAATTGTCGTATTGTCATGATGAATATGTGATATTAAAAAATTTTTAATCCCAATAAAGTCGTTAGATAGCACATCAATTGAAAATCGATTTTTTGGTATTAAGAGATTGAAACCCTTACCGAAATCCTGCCGTTTCCCTTCCACGCAACCCCCTTTGCAATCAGGCCAAAACATTCTCAACTTACTCCTTAAATTTCCTGTCAAAGGCAACAATTGAAAAGTCTCAACTTGTCACTCTGATATTTCCAAAAGTTTCAAGCTGAAACCTTGAAAATCGTAACACGTCTTTTTTTTTGTTTCAGTGATTACCCCTCAGAATAAATTTCACCCGCAAGGTGTGTAAAAAGTTTTCTCCAGTGAAGAGTTGTCTGCGTCTTCCTAGCAACAGAGAAAAGCCATCGTGTCCTAATAAATACAGCTCCAGTAGCAGCACACGTACAGAGAGAGGGTTGGATGGTGGTGATGCACTTGATCCCGCCCCAGCGCTCGCAGAAGGACTTCGCCACCGGCTAGAGGAAGGAGGGACAAACGAGGACGCGTATTACATACGCGTGTCATACACCCATAGCCGAGTTCCGGTAAAAAACTCACGCACGACGCCACGTACTCCAGAGTCGAACAAAGGCACAGTCTGCAACCCCTTTCGTGTCCCTCCACCAGTTCTACGAAGCCCTCTTTCCCTCTCGGTCCACTGTGCATAACGTCCAATCTTCAATTTTTCCTTTGCCAATCTCACCGACTCTCTTCACACGGCTAAAAATTTATACTCAAATTCACTCTCATGTTCTACACACAAAAACAATTAAATCATCTAAATTATCATGTCTACACTGTTTAAAATATACACAGTGGAGTTTCTAGGAATATAATAGAGATAGATAGATAGATAGACAGGTAGATAGATAAATATTTATTCATTGATGCTACTTTACAGTTTTGCATCGTTTCTTGCGCCTTCGAACATAATGAAGTGTTTGTGCAATTGCCGTAGAATAAAATTAACACACAATATTATAAGTCTTTGCGTATCTTGGATGACAACTTTCTAAAGCGTAGGAATAGTATTGCTATGGATGAGTATAGAAAAATTACGTTTCGTTCACTTGTACTTTTATTTAAAACAATTATGACAGTTTTATTCCGCTTGTGCTGAAAAATTATCGAAAATACAGAATTTTTCAAAGAATTCCACTGGCAAATTACTTAAAATAAATTTCCGTATTACTAGTCCGTGGAGTAATTTTGGCGTAATAATCTTACTTTTTTAAAAGCGTATGGCATCATTTACTATTGAATTTCCTTCTTCCCGAACGGAATAAATACATAACCCGAAGATATATCTCAGAAACCGCATTTTTGTCCGAAAATATATCTAGATATATCCGGATGTTATTCACCTGGACATTGGCATTTATAATTTTCCGCGTGGGTTGTAATTCTAAAATATATATTGTAATCAAAAGTACATTTTTTAGTAGAGATTCCACGAAAATATTGTAATTTCAAATCAAAATTAATGTAAAAAATGGAATTTGAAATTACGTCAGGTTAAATTTAACTATAATTCTCCTCTGTTTTCCAGAAAACGTGAAAATTGGGCGATTTCATATTAGTATTTGTTCAAAGACGTGTACTGGGTGGAACTCAGCTTTTGAGAGCGCAGAAATTCCCGGAATGTAATTAATATTTGCTTTTCTGCTAATTGAAATTGTTAATCAAATTCTGTGTTCTCGGAAAGAGGAAAGAGTTACTTAGATGCACGTTTATGAAAATGATCAGGCAATTAAAATGCTAGCCACGCTCTTTTGTTGAATCCCACAGAGTCCAGGCGTTCGCCGGAGGGACTCGCCGAGGCTTTTGATGAATCGCGATCCTCATGAGGGAAATATTTAATTCAACAGTACACTTTCCTCTTTTTCTCATGGTTTTTCTTTGCTTCGCTCCCTCCAGGAGTGAAAATGAAGAGAACATGAGCTTTTGAGATGTCGACAGAGATTTTTTCTTTATTGTTTGAGAAAAATTCCGCGACAAATCGCGTAATCTACAGGTGAAATATTTATTTTGGCCGTCCACCGGGAAAATGAATTTCTGCCGTGAAGAATATTTACTACAGGTAAATAATTTTTTTAGTTTCAGCCAAATAAATTAAATAGGGAAATAAAATTAAATGTTTATTTTAGGATACGATTATACTTGAAGTGAATCACACAATTGATTGTGCTTATCTCCTTGCGATTCTACGAGGACTCAGTGCTGGAATACTTCCTGCAAATAAATCGGTACTTTCTATGAGTGTACA